GTTCATTGTTCATCAATTGCAAGCGTTCAGGCTGCGCACCTGTCCCGGTTGTCTACCCTACAGCAGGTGGGTTGTCTTAGGGGACCAATATTCACAACATTTAGCCAAAGAACCTAAAGCACATGCACTAGGGCGAGAAAAGTGTTTCACATCCAATGGGAGCCGGTGACGGATTACTCAGTTCTTGCGAGTTTTGGATGGCGATAAGTCATACCATAGGCCCAATACTCCCAACGTCAGTGGCGAAATCAGATGCTCAGATTGCTTGCCGTTGTACGATTTCTCCAAGGACGACCTGGCTCGAATCCGCTTGCGTGTTGGAGACCTCGTGCCATACCCAGCCAACCTGCGGAAGATCGTGATCACGTGGTAGCGTACCGTCGGTGCATTGTGTCAACGTATTGCTAACATTTTCTTAATACCTCTTGAAAGAAGGCTAGGGTAGTGCATTTATTTAGTGACGAGCCACATCCGTCAAGTCGTACTATTGTTAAGCAGACACTTTGGTTCCTATCAGGGGGAACACAGCACGTGAAACGCTACCACATCCTGGAACACTGAAGGCGAACCATTTACTGGAACGAGAAACTCCCGAGATACCTAACTGGCACCACCGCGAGGCTCTTCGGCATATAGCGATCTAAACATCCCTCGGTTTGTCTTAGCGTGCTGTGTAAAATACTAGATAAAATTATTATCTCTTACACTTAGGTGTACGATACTTATTGTTGACCCGTAAGTGGAATTGGTTTGTCATACCAATGGGCAATACACACACGGGATCACGGTTGGATTCACCACGCTGCTCCATAACACGGTATGCAAATATTCTTCACTAGCTAGCACGCAGTGTCTGTCAATACACGGGACTCTCGTACCCCCATTAATAAATATTCGTACCGTCACTTTCGAGCGTTCTTCTCAACTACCAGGAACGGTACTAGTTGGAAGCCAGGCGGATACGGCAGGTCTGTTAACTAGAGCCAATTACTCCCTCCCTAAATTGGTGGTTCCGAGCGGAAACCTTTCCGCCGCTAATTTGCTTTCGCCTTCCCGAATTAATTTTACCGTTTTGTGTGTTCTTTCCCATTTATTGTCCATTTTATCACATTATCTCGTTCATTTTCAGTAAGTGGTAATTTATCCCTGCCATAAACTCCGTTTCTAAACATTGTGAGGGCTAGCAGGCTGTTCATGCAGTCACTCTGGTAGTTCCCCCCATACATAAGGATAGACGCCGATTTATGGTTCTTGGTATTAGAGGCAGAATTCATTACCAAACTTGTCACACGATATTCGGATAAGTTCAACAAGTTGCTATCTCGTCTGTCCAGCTCGGCGACCTGATTCGCACTGCTGATGATACGAATCCCTATGACGTTCGTTAACAGGCCGTAAGCAAACTTGTCACATCTTCAGAAGTCTTGTCTGCTTCAATTTTTCTCCAGTTGGTTGACAGGAAGCAAGAAACCGTCGACACGGTTACTGGCAACGCGCCGTCTGTTAAGAGACATGAGTATGGCAAATCTTTACTTCGCGAACGTTGGTTACAATGTTTGCTACGACCACGTGCAATCCATCTTATGCCTCGCCAAGTACAAATCATACTCGGAGGTCGCTGATATTGCAAACAACTCTTTGGAGCTTTACACGGAGAGACTGTGAGTCGAACAGCATTGCCCCGCCACTTGACATGCCTTACCGGGTACAAACCGCATCTAGATTAAACGCTAACAAAACAAACCTACCTTCAACTTCGGCACTTATGGAATGAGTAGCCTCACTAGTACGCGTTCGTGGTTTAAGTCTAAACCAGTAGCAGCGTAAGGTTACATGCCGTTCGCGTATTCAAATTCGCAGTACCACAAGACGATCTATTTATCATTACTACGCGCTTTTCCCAAGAGCCGCCATAAATTGCATCAAGTCCTGTGCATTCATATTGTAACGAAAGACGCAGATAAGCAGCTGCAACGTTATTCAAGAGCAGGATGTTATGACCATAGCGTGAGCTTATGATTTGCGTTTATAATGATCATTAAACTGGGGACGCCATGGACTCAAACGGTTTCGTCCGTGAAGTCTATGCGACAGCCTTCTAAGCTCTGCTTTTCTTACTTGTGTTCGCCCAATGTAATGTCTGGAAGGACAATGACAAAACAGAATCCGTTCTGGAGGCAAGCTGGCGAAAGAAAGACGGCTTTCAGCTCATCGACGGCGTTTTGTTTATTCGGAATTACCCGGGATTTCTAGGCGATACCAAAAGTTCGAAACTATCTCTCTTTACAAATATGCACCCTGTATTGGGACAACCTTCCCGGTTGTTGATAAACTCTGGATATGCAAACTGCTACAGCAGTAATGTGCATTCCTTCACTTGGTAGTACAAATCGCAGTCCCGAATTTGATCCAGGATGTAATCGAACAGCTCAAAGACAAATTATCATCCCGGTATACTGCAGCATCGTAAAGCCAGTGAGCATAATATGCAACAGCTACTGATAGATTGCTGACTCCATGTTTTATCCGAATGATAGCTGGCCAAACGGAAATTGCGAGTGAAATGAGTTAATCGCGCATATATCCAGTGAACTATGTTCAGCCTCAAGCTGCAGGAACGAGTCCACTAGAGTCGGTTGAGGCCAATTAACTTTGATGTCGACTTTCGGATGTTGGAGCACCAGCTGTGTGCCTTAGATTGTGACACGCAATCTCAATCGTGGCCTCGGTGGACTTTGAAGTTAGCCTCTGCCAATACGGTCACTGGGACCATCGCCGAAGTGGAGTGTGATGTCTTCTGGGATAGAGGATGAATAGCTTTAGTATGAATGGTCTCGTCAATTCCTGTGGAGAAATCTGCACAGTCAACGAATGAGCCATTTATAATAGTCCAGTCAGAGCCACCATCCGGCTGCGTAACACTGGCTCACTTAGGCGAGTAAATTCCTGTTCAACACTGCATAATGCATCATACAGCACTAGACATCTTGAATATAACATGTCATTATTTTTCAGATGCAAATGAAGATAGTCCTTAACACAACGACCTATCAATGGACCAAACTTTAAAAAAGCTTGCTATATCTGGATTTGTCCCTGTGGGTAAACGCTAATATCCAGTACGAATTTACGCACACTGTTCTGGGCAACGCCCTAAACCTTGAGGTTGTACGACTAGCCAGTGCTTAGAATGTTCACCTATGTTCACTTAACGATGCAAAATATTGATCCAGTTGCGGGGTCCGGTTGATTATCCCGTGACTGTGTTAGCAGGATTTTTTCTTGGTGCATTTGTCGGAACATTTGAATGAAGTTAAAATTTTTGCGTCCTTCACCTTCATTAGTGATTATGCATTTTCGGATTATATTTTATGTGGTAACTTAATACAAAATTCGGTGTTCCGTTTTGTAAAACCTGCATTATCACTTTGTGTCTTGCTTGTACCATTTTTCCAAAATGCCAGAGGAATCATCTCGTGGTTTCTGTTCGAAAATTGCTGGACACACGCCGAATATCCTAACATGTGTTGATTGCTGTGTTAGCTTTCATCATTCCTGTGTTGGAGTACCAGTTGATTCCTATGTCGTAGTTCACTCAACACAATTTCACCAAAAGTTTGTGCAACAGTTGTCGTAGTCGAAGACAGCCCGAAACAAGCATCATATCTACTAGTGTTTAAATGTGAGCAACCCTAGGAGTATGGTCATGTAACATGAATTAGTCTCCGTCCAGTGTTCAATTCAGCCTCACTCTCCTTCCCCTGAAACCTAGCTATCTTAATATCATAAGCTTTCCGAAAACACCACATCAAGTGAAGCCAGCAGTCTACTCAATTTGTTACCTGCTAACTCAAAAAGTCCAGCTAATGAATATCCGATGGCTGTTGAACTATGGGGAACTGCGACAGAAGAGGCCGAGAAAGGAGGAGTAGCCTCCTGCTGATGAAAAGCATTAAGCTAAGTAAAGCAATGCTAGAGGTCACCCTTCTCCGGTAGGAACAGTTTTCACTAATAGAATGTGACCAAATCTGCTTGTTTTCCACACATCTGAGTCCACTGATCCAAGTCCCTAGGCAAGCTATATATACGATTTGTCGCTATCGAGCTAAAGCCGTGAGTCAGTGATGGTTCAATAAACCTAGGTATGGTAATTTCTGGGTGGCTACAAAACTAACACGAATTCGCATAACCCGGTCGCCCGCTCTTCAAGCACCCAGGGGGTTCTTACCGCGGTCTACGTGTAGCCTTTACCAACGTCTGCAGTCTAACGAATAAGCGTGATTGGCTGCGCAACTTCGCTTTCGCTGATAGCGATAGTCATAGTAATCTGGCCGGTTGTTATGACTGTGCAGAAATGCTAGCTGAGTTTATTTTTAATTTCAGCTACCCGGTAGTTGCTCTTCAGTTGTATGTGTGTGTTAATCAAATGTGGAATAAAACTTTTACTTGAGATCTCTGATACCCGTTAGCATAGCTCTCGTGTTTTAAAAAGCAGAATTCATGGATGACTTAGACGTTGGTGTGGAAAGGCTTAAGAATATAATTGTGGCTTAACAAATGACTTATCATGAATGTCCTTCAAGAGAATCGCCAATGAGGGACAATGATAAGAAACAGGTAAACAAGCAGCCGTAAACATGAGCATTTCTGGTGTTATGTAAATAGATGTTTCTTAAGTTTCGAAATTCATGAAAGCGACATTATACCCTATAAGATCCATCATTCTAGAATACGGATAATACGGATAATTTAATAATGAATTCAACATGGCTAAAAAGCAATACTTCCAACAATGGCGTGTAATCAGTACAATGAAACGCAGCAGCGTACTTCCCTTACTAGCCTATTTCTCGCATGATGTTCTTCACGGCTTCAGCTTTATTGTACCATTGATATTTAGTTTTGAGATCATTTTCCTCTCCACAGTCAGCTGAATTCTTGAATAATCGTTTCGGGTAATCGATTAAGCTTTCCCATTTTTTCCACTTCATTGTGTGCAGTTTTTCATCACTGGTCTCTCATTTGCCACATTCGCTGTGCCTCCGGAACGACCGGAAAATCGATTGCAACTGTCCTTCACGCTCTTTCTCACCTCAGTGGCATTCAAGTTTGTGATTAATCAGTCTTTACCAAAGATATCTTATCTGACTTACATGGTGAGTGCTCCCATTCTATGTGTCAAAAATGTGTGTACCGATTGAAAGTACGGAAAAGCCAATCAAACTATAAGTAAGATAATCCGTTTACTTGAACAGTATGAAATTGGGGGAGTGAAATATTTTCAATTGGAAACAATGAAAATCATGTGTAAGATCAGAGGGAAGGGACAAGCGGAGGAATTCAGACACACTTTGAACAATAGCCACCTTGTAAAAATATACCTGTCTAACTACCGGGCACCAGAAATCCATCCGCTCTTTGTGCACCGCTAAACCGGACGTTTACGTGTAAGTCCTTTGTGACCTATCGCTTTGTACGATTAGTACATATTTTTTCACAGCCAGTAAGCTAGTTACAGCATCTTCTTCCTTACCGATTGTTCGACGTTACCTTCAGAAACAAGCATTCGATAATGTACAGTTATTTGAATACCTCGCTGGACTGAATCCAATTCATAACACACCTGCCCTTCGAGTCGAGCTAGTGCAATATAATATGCTTGCTTATCTAAGTTTCTGAGCACTTGTTACTTAGAACTGCCCATGTAACAGCCCGCGATAGTGAGCACTACCTGTCGAAGACTACGACAACAATAGCTAACAGTCGATTATGGTGGAACATTCGGATACAATTGTATGATAAACAAGGGAACGCAAGTTCCATGCAACTACGAAGAAATGTCGACCAGCTCTGAGGTTTTGCAAGTTATCAAGGAGAGCACTAAGTTGCCTACTATGTAAATGGTTACTTAGAGAGCAATATCCTTGTTCTGTTCGAGTTGTTATGTAAAACAGCAAGGTCATGACTCTCAGGCAAGCCGTAGGTTGTATACTACCAACAACTGGAAATGACGACGCTAACTCGTGTGCCGCTTCCTTGGACCGATGTAATACGTGAATCAAATTTAGGTACACCTTGAGGATATTCCACAGTAGCGGCGTTTGGTTAATTTAGTGCAGGGATTAAAACTGAGCAACTTGGTAGATTGACACCAAGACTTGATGGGTTATACAAAGTAATGGAAATGCGTGACTGCATCATCGAGCTCTGTACTTACGCTATGTTCGCCTCTATTTGACACCACAGACACCTTTTCGTCGCGTCTATCCGAAGATAATGTCGCTTCATCTAGCGGTCAAGTCGATATAAGCATTACTCTGAGCGCCCAGTTTGAAACTGCTCTGATCTACTTGATCCCAGTCAGTAGCCAAATGTTTGCAATCCGACTGGTTCGCTCATTCAGAGCCTCGAAGTCTCGCAGGGCTTATGGTGCTTGTTTGTAATTGCTACCTACGCTTCACACAGACTGTAGCACTGACTCAGTGAAAGAGGACTTTATCGTCAAATGAACGAGCTGCTACATCACAGAATGTGTGCGGATACTGTCTTGCAGGCTGATGATCTGAAAGCACAAGTTGGCAAATTTTTTCCTGATGCGCTTCAGCTGGGCGCCCCAGACGGTGCATACTCCCGTTAGGATAACGGTGAGTGGTTGCTACCCCTGTGGGAAAATGCTCGTCTCTTGCGAGCACTAACTTCCGACACAGCACCCACCGGACGGTGACATGGGGTGCACTCGGCTCAAACCAGCCGTGAACGGATATTACATCGCGACCAGTTGCCTTTAGAGAAGCTATGTTCAAAACTGCCACTGGATTTGTAGCCCATGTCTTGATTCCGGCAGCTAGATTGTAGGTACAAATCTTCTGATTTGATTTCCCAGACATCTGAGACGACGCTGTGAGGATATAGACACCTGCCAGCTGGTGAAATCAGATGTCCCGGATGCCTATCAAATTGTAGTTGAATGAGGGTGCTGGGGTGCTACCTAAGCAGCAGATGTCTTTATGTGGTTAATCAAATTGTCATTCTGGACAGTTGCTCACTACGCGGTCTCTGGAAATCCTCAGTGGCGGCTGTTACCATGGAACAATGGTTTATTACGGGTAAAAAAGCATTGCTTAACAAGTTCCGTGGGATGGAAATTATTGCGAAAATAAATTGCATGATAAAGCAAAAAGCGTTGTGGTGGACTCACCATAAACTTATGTGGAGTAGCGGAGATGTTCGCATATAAAACGTATAAATCCATAAATCCATTGGTTAGGCGTTTGGCATGACACTGTTTCATTACGTTTTGTAGCCCCTGGCTAACAAGTCATAAAATGAAATGTAAGTGAGACAATGCATCGTCAACACGTTTTTTAAATATCACCAGATTGGGAGCAGAGACGACATAAGTAGGGAGGGCATTCCAAGGTTGGCATACGAGGAGGAAAAAGAAATTTCTACGGCATTCAAGCCGGGTATACTGAGTTGTCAGTTTCAGAGGGTGACCTCTTTGTTAAGTGTTGTGGTTCAATTCCAGCAGCGGACGGCAAATGTGGTTTGGGTTCTTCAGAATCTGGTAAACCATTATGAGACCCCCCCCCCCCCGCAAAAGCCGATATCGACTGCTGTAGATTCTTAGAGATTTCAGTCTAAGCTGATAGGGCAGATGAAAGAGGCCCCCTGACGTTCTTGGTTGCTCTTCGTTGAGGAGTCTCGAATGCAACAAGATCCTGCTTCTGCCACGGCTGCCACGCCTGAATAGCATATTCCACGTGAGGTCGCACGTAGGCGTTAAGCATTTGGGGAGAGATTGAGGGTTCAAACCGACCGAAGGCTCTGCGAAGAAGGCCGAAGTGTTGATTTCCGGTTCTCGTGGCCTTCTCTGCTTGTTTTGAACACCCGAGATCTTCCCATACCAATACACCCAGGTCACGCTCCTGATAAACCTTCGCCAAGGTGTGGTCTCCAATCTTGTAAGCGCTCACTGGCTGGTGACCCAGGTGTATCACTTTGCACTTAGCTATGTTCAATTGAAGCATGTTCCTCTTTGGCCATTCGTAAATGCAGTCTAGGTCATGTTGGAGCACATCCTGATCTGGCTTGTTACTAATCGCCCGCCATATCTTGACGTCACCGTCGAAAAGCAGGAAATTTGGGGAGATAACTGATGCCAGGTTGTTGATAAACAACAGGAATAAGCGCAGTCCCAGCACTGAGCCTTGTGGGACACCACATTCCACCTCAATCGGGTTAGAGATTGATCCCCTAACACGTACTTGAAGCTTCCGTCGGTGAAGGAAGCTGCCAATCCAATCAAGTACATGATCCCTGATTTCATAACTCTGCAGCCGTTGAAGTTGGGTGCCGTGATCAAGGTGGTCGAAAGCTTTGGAGAAGTCCAGGGAGATGACGTCAACTCGGACCCCATTATCAGCCACTACCGCGTGCAATCAGTAGGTTGGTGGCGCATGACCGGTGTTGACGGAAGCCAACCTACGGAAGCCGGTACCAAGATGTTGCATTTTTCCAGGTAGTCCATTAAAGCCTCAGCGACGACTGCTTCCATCACCTTCGCAAGCACAGGGAGGAGAGTCATTCAGCAATAGTTTGCAGGCTCCGAACCGCTACCACGTTTAAATATATGGGTGATAATGCCACACTTTCACATAATGGGGACTTGTTGTTCATCAAAGCACCTTTGGAAGAACTGTGACAGTGGTTCAGCTAGCTTGTTGGCCACAGCCTTCAGTGGATTCGGGCGGATATTGTCTGCTCCCGGAGAACTATGCTCACGCAGTGAGAGTTACTTCATTAGCAAAATTGATGGGTCGAAAATTACATTTGCAAACAATGGTGTCGGTAATGTGCATGACATTATGGGACAGGTAGAGATTACGAGTTCGGAAATTGGGGCGTATTGTAGCCGCAGGGGCATTAGCTGCTTCTTCGGCACTTTGTACTCTACCGCCTGTCGTGAAAAGTGGAGGGATTCCATGCTTCAATTTACGAAGCTTATTGACATGCTTATATAGCAGTTTATTGTTTGTCACGAATTTTTTGGCTAGGCACTGTTGATAAGTTACTTTGTCCTCACGGACAAGTGCAGTGCAATGGTTGCCATGGGTTAGGAAATTTCCCCAAGTCACTGAGTCAGGGTTAATCTTGTAGGCACGCCATGCTGCATCCCTTATCGCCAGGCATTTTTGAGTCCTGCTCCTTAGAATTGAAGGCATTTTCGCGGGACGAAGGGGCTTAGTCTCTGATACTCTGTTGACGATGTCGCTGAGTCTATTAACGAACTCTGCCCAAACGTTGTCAAGGGGACTTTTGTTTGAGATTTCCCAAGCAGCTGCGTCGGCGAGTTCTTTCAATACGTGGTAGCGTGTGATTGTATGAGTTAGTTCCGAGTGTTCAGATAGATACTCTGCATAACACATATAGTTGAACGTTATTACTACATGGCTACTGAGACCTAATGGACTATCCATCAATAATTTGTCAACCATGAGCTCTTCATTTGTGAGCACGAGGTCCAATATGGACGGTTTGTTTGGTGTCCCGAATCTAGTGTGCGTGGTGACATGATTGCACAATGGAATATTAGCGACCAGTTCATGCAAGTCTGCTTTGAATTGCTCACTGGGCGATGCCGAAACCTCCAGATTGTGTAGATTGAAGTCCCCGGAGGTGAGAATGTGGCTGTACCTAGTGCGTGTTACTCTGTTTAGGCCACGGATCAAGCAGGAATCCATTTCCGGAGTGGACGTTGGGGAGCGGATATACGACAGCTATGAGACATGTGTCGTTGTGTCTCAATCGGAGACGGCACCAGAGTGAGTCGGTAACGTGTGTTTCCAGATCATCAACTATCGTACATTGTAGATCGCTGGGGTAGTAGAGTAGGACCCCACCTCCTCTGCTGGGGCGGTCGTTCCGGCTATCTCAACCTAAGCATCAGTCACCTCTTGGTATAACCAAGTTTCGGTAATATCAATTAGGTCCCAAGCATTCGTAACCTGACGTAGTCCAAGTTCGTTAATTTTACTGAGGAGCCCTTGGGCTTTAGTGTACATACATGAAAGTTTCTCAGATTTAATCAGTGTTTCAGAATTTGTACAACTCATACGTGAGGTTTCGCCGACCAGTGAGTGGCCGGCGACTAATC